CTGAGACTCCTTACCTTTGTATTTCCAATTAGTGCTATACCAAGGGATAGTTTTCTCTTCATTCCTCCAGATAAAGTTGAACACATCTTATCCTTTTTGCTTTTTAGATTTAACTTCTTCAGAAGGTCTCTAGCTGCATCATTAGCTTCACGATTTGAACAACCTTTCAACTGTAACACACAAGCAGAACAAATAATGAGATTTATAACTCTTTACTATAAAGAAATATTAAAACAAAAACAATAACAGCTTAAATAAAAACATTTTAGAAATGCTTACCTTACCTAATCTAATCTAACGTAAGGCTTACAAAATGAAAGAGAAAGATAATATGGACACATGTTCTATTACACAACAGCTGTATAAATATATGAAATGCTGTTGTTGAAAAACCTACAATTCTGAGGCAAAATAATCTGAAACATAAAACTCATTACCTTTGCAAAAAAGAGCAGATGTTCCAAGACAGTGAGATCTGTGAAGAGAAGGTTTTGTTGTGGACACAGGCCCAAGCTTTCCCGCACTTTATCCAAGTTTTTACAGATGTCATATCCATTAATGCGGACAGAGCCACTTGTAGGAGAATACATGCCTGTCAACAATTCATACACATATTACAATACTGTAGAATTTCACATAGATGTAAATAATATGGCAAAAGCATATATATTAAACAATAAGAAATCTGCATGGTTGTTCCAAAAAATCTGTTCAAGAAAAAAAAATTTGGTTCTGTTAAGGTGATCACAAGAGAAGACAAGTTTCTATTTGTTAAACTAAAATTTTCACCAACGTAAAATTTTGAAGTAAAGAATTACTTATTATATTCACATAAAGATGAATGGAGAATGAAAAATGTTGTACATAGTGAATTAATGTAAACTATAAATTCACTGTGTTGATATTTAACTATAAATTAAGTTCAATACATTATCACAAATAATCTCCATCTAAAAATTTCTGGACAACGTCTTACCAATAATTTATTCCTTCTTCTTCTTCCTGGTGCTACAGTTCAAAGTTGAACCCTGGCCTCTTCAATCTTTCGCCTCCATTCAGAAGCTTAGCTTGAAGTTTCGAAACAAATCTTTTTTACGAAGTGAGGGTATTTAATTATTGTATCCAATGTAATGGCCAAATGGTGTCAACAGAAGTTCTGAACTGACTTATAGAGTTAGGCACTGTATCTTAATCAATACAGAGCATTTTGAAAGATACCACATTCAACAGCCACTTTAAGATCACAGTTTAAGTAAGGGTGCTGAAAATATTTTTCAAATTCAAATAGAACTTACATCAGCTACTGTGATAGGCCTATGCTACCATTTCCTCCTTTGTCACCCAGTGTTTTAGTTCAATTAATGGTGTTCACAATACTGTACTACTCTGCACATAACACATGGCAATTCAGTATCACTAATAAATTAAGTTGGTAGAACTGTTATATTTCCTACCTGTGAGGATTGACATGGTTGTCGTTTTACCAGCACCATTATGTCCAAGCAGTGCTGTAATCTCTCCTCTGTAGATATTCAGAGTGACTCCATCCACTGCCACCTTCTTGTTCAGTCCACCAAAGGACTGGAATACTTTACGAAGATTTTTAATCTTGATTCCAACAGACAGATTACTAGAAGGTTTCTCAAACTTATTGTTTGATACCTTGACACCATTTGGAGAAACTATTAAATCATTTACTCTTCCGTTGCGCCAATAAGATGGCTAAAACAGAAAAATTACATGTTACCTAATTCTACACTTTCTCAAATATTCTCATGCCAATTAAATGTTTGAAATTACTCTAAAGCATGATCACACTGTGCTTTGGCACTGACATCTACTGATGAGACCACATGGCGCCAAAATCCAGAGCAGTATAATTGTCTTCAATGGTGTAAAAACTTCAAATTTCACATACTCTATAGCATTTTATTTGAAAGCTGCTATATTATCAAGTAAAAATGTGTAAGATTTGAGGTTCTCATGGCAAAGATGCCAATGATGTTCTTCTGGGTTCTGATATTGTGTGGATTTATAGGTAGATACCAACATTTCAGAGAAACATACTGTCTCCATCAGGGCTGAAGACAGTATGTTTTGCCATCATAATTCAGAACAACACCGACAACCACAAATGTGTGTTTAGAAATATAAAACAAGTTAAACAGGAATATTAATTCCTGGAACTAAATAATCACACTGCCCTCGGTTGTCTAGCAATAGTGTGCTTGCCACTGGACCCAAGGTTCATGGGTTCATACCCAGATGAGGTTGATGGACTTTTAAGGGTGATAAAAATCTGTAGCACAACTTCATTCAGAGGGGAAGCAAAGCCAGCGGTCCCATGTCATAGATTTACAGGATGTAAAAGATCCTTATGAGCATGAAAAAAATGTTTCATAAGCACAATTCAGCAGCCTTATTTCTCACCCATGTCTCTTCTGATTTGCTACTAGATAGCTATAGCAGAAAAGTCAGGATTGAATAGAAATTGTAAGGAGGCACAACTTTAAGGAAATATATAGCCAGTGTGCAACATGTATCGATACCACTACAGCAGAAACTAAAGCGCCATATACCAATATAACTGCTACATCATATATTAGTGCTATTATAGAAACCCAAAAATTCTTACATGCATATTACAGACAATGACAATAAGTTTCTAAAATAAAAGGGGCTTATTTATTTATGGTTTACGTAATGATGCTGTCATTACCTAAGACTATATGTTAATTAATTGATAAAGAGCTCAAAAGAACAGTGTCATTGACTAATTTAAGGCACTACACTGAGGAATACCATAAAAAACCTCAGTGACTATAGTTAGTTTGAAAGCCAAGATTTTAAGCCATATCTTTACTACCAAGCAAGAAAGAAAAAACAATAAAAAGATGGTTAAGGGATTAAGATACAAACGAAACCATTTGAAGCTAAATTTCAATATGCTTTCTATACTACTTAAATATAAAATATGTATTTGAATAAAAATTTTCTTGGATATTATCCATCCTCTAGTAAAATATAAAACATAAAAAAATCCCGGAATACAAAGACATCACCACACCATCCATCCGTGGGACGTAAAAGAATAAAATAGTAGAAACAAAATTCGTTAAACACGATAAAGCCAAATAAAACAAAAACTCACAAAATGTGGGAATAAATACATATGACCATTAATTTGAAATTTGATGCACAACTTGGACTTCTTCAGAGATGACCGTTATTTTTACTTTGTCCGGAGATAGGGATTAGCTGTATCTAGTGGGCCCAACTGAGTAGGAACCTGAAGACGGAGATAGAGCCCCGTCTCCGAAACGTCATTTTACGTTTTATTTTTTACTAGACGATGGATAATATCCAAGAAAATTTTTATTCAAATGACTCTTCACCATCATCAAGAAGTTTTAGATTTGATATAAAATATGTATATTTGTCATACCATGAAAACGAAGTACCAGGGTTTTGCAAGTCCATACTTTCCAGGCATAATGCTACTTATGTACCATGTTATGATGCTATATATAACAATATCCACAATGAACATCAACAACACCAAGCCCACACTGAAGTCACCTTTAATTCCACTGGGTGGTTCAAAAATGTTCATCCATGTCAGACCAACCTCTGTACCAAAGAGAAACAATGCCAGTACATTACAGATTTTACAAACATATTGTTTCAGCATTTATAGTGTAACAATACTTCACTTAATTGATTCACTTACAAGGAAGAAACACTGAAAATAATCCACATTATACACAACATTATATAATCTAAAAATTTCTGTAAGGAATACTCCCATGAAAACAAAATTTAAAATGATAAATTACAGTTGGATTATATAGTCACATTACCTAAACATATTAATATAAGATTTGCAGAACTGAAAGTTTGTGCATTATATAAGTGGGCTCTGTGAGTTATACCTGGAATTTATAGTTTGCCTCGATTAAACAGGAATTATTTATGTAGAGGTAAGAATCTACATAAATACTATATTACAGAAGTCTATCATAAATCAATGCTTCCAAACTGTTTGACCATGTAAACCTTTTGGGCTAGAAAACACAATGATAGTAATCCACACCAAAATAAAATACTGGCAGGTTCAGTAAGAACTGTTTCAGACATCCCTTCACTCTGGAAAAATGAACTGTTCAACTACACTTCCTATTTCCAATGGTACACATGCAAAAAACTGAACACAAATCACAGTCTTTTTTACTTCTTAGTCAATTAGCAGATGAGACTGGTTTTTTAATGTTACAGTTTGTGGGTATAACCAAACATTTCAAATATTGTTCTTTGAATCATAATTTAAGCAAGAAATGCTTTCATTCTGACATAACAAAATCCATAGAATCCCTGGTGACCTCTCACAGAACTCCAGTTCTGTGATATATTTGGACTCACAGATACAGAGAGGTGCAAGTGTAAGTTTGGATATAGCAAATCAGTGCATATCATAAGCACACACATAAAATATCTACTTACTCTTTGATTCAAAGGTAAGAATTAAGTGATAACCCCAAGAAATTGCTGTGTTGGGGAGTATAGCAGATAACATCTTCAGACTTGGAGCACTGAGACTACTACTCCCAACAAAAGGGTAAGTAACTGCATATGACAAGATCCACAGACTGATGCCAGCACTCATCGCTACGGTTGCTGAAATCATTAATATACCATTTCTTAATTAAAGCTACACCATGATGTATGTGAAAGTTCAAATTTGAGTCTCTTTATACTGAAGAAATAAGACTACATATGAAAACATAGCATGCACATTTACAAAACCACTTATAAATTCAATAAGATTCTATAAACCTACAGCCATGCATACCATTATTTCCACAGTAATGCATTTCAATATTTAACCTCAATATCATATGAGAATGTAATTACTGTTGAAGTCATTAGAACAAAGACCCTTCACAGACTTTAAACTTATAGGTTTTAAGGGTAAACCATACTACAATTTTTCATTTTTGTGACTATTCCTTCTTCAGGATGTCACCAATGGGGCAGATATCTGAAATTAGTGCAAATGGGAACTTTTTTCCTCCTCTGTATATATAAAGGGGCTTTGAGTGAATATAAATTATGAATTCTGTACCAACAATTTTATTCAGCTCAAAAAACATGTAGTCATCTAAACTAGGTTATTAAATTTTTTAAACATAATACACTCCTGTATAAAGTGAAGTGTTCGCGGTGACTGAAGTTGATGAAAGACTCTCTGGTTACAAGCCGCGTCAGGTGGCTTGTAACCTGAGAGTCTTTCATCAATAACACACTCCTATTTCTTCCCATGCAGCTTTTACTTTCTTTCCAAGTGAACAAAAGTTTAATAAAATATTTTTGGACCACAGGTCACATCAAATAATGATAAAAACTGTTGTTTAAAAAATTAACAATATATCCAAAAGCTGGCCTTTCTTCACAATTTAATGTGACTTTGAAACAGAACATCTTATTAACCTATGTTGTAACAACATCTTTAAAGAATGATTTTTTTTGTAATATTCTCATAAATATGTATAAAAATAAAGATTCACAGATACTATTTACTTACGTCGAGAGAAGAATGAGCTTATAGCAAAACAGAAGGTTACACCAGCTGCACAGTAGAACAAGAGAAAAATCCACACTAAGAAGCCATTTGAATACTGAAGTACAGAAACCTCACCAAATGGTACCTTCATTAAGACTACTATTATGGTAACTGACACAATGTTTACAAGCATTGCATTCAGCATCCACCCACACCAAAGCATCCATGACTTCAGTCCCATCATTTTCATCAGTTCCTGAAAATAAAAACATTTTAATAGTTACCAACTACACAAACTGCAAAATCAGACTTCTGTAGCTGAATGTAATCAAATAATTATACATTTGAAGGTAAGAAAAATCTTCAGCAACTTATTTTGAACAGACACCATGTGGTTGTTTTTCATTCTACAACAAAGATTACTTTTACAGAAGTTTCATATTTTTCAAACATCTATAGTCATACACAATTTAAGGACCCAACTATTACCACTCCCATCTCATCAAGTCTGTATGTCCACAATGTTGTTATTACTTGTAGTTAGAAAATAAAAAGTATGATTTTGAGGTGGCCTCCAACTGAAAAAGATTCACAGTAAGTTTCATGCAAATCAGTGAACTTGTTCAACAGTTGTAAAGAACAGACATTCACAGACTAGTAATCCCATAAGTATACTTTTTTCTGAGAGAAAACAAGCTAAAAAAGAGGGAAACTGCAACAAAGTTCATTAATATAAATGACAACTGTAAACTGTGACTCGCAAAATCGGCTCATTTCAGATAATGAGGCGAACACATTTTTCAACCCACACTCTCACAACCCCCTTAAAACATTATTCTGTTTCACTAAACCTTGTTGAAATAACCTTCCTAAGAGAACAAGTGCACCATGTTCATACCTATGATGTTATTTCTTGCCTTTTCAGGGTCAAAGGGAACACTAATTCTTCACATCATACGCCAAACAGAAAACAACAAACACAATCACATTAATGCAAATTATGAGTCACATAAGAAACTGTCTCTGGCAAGATAAACAATGTGTTTCTATAAAGCTCATGTAACATCAATTACATACCTGTGGTAATTCATGTTCTGGAGTTCCACCCAGTATTACTGTACTATATTCAATTACTTCCTAACCAAAAATAAGCTGTACAACAATGTTACTGTTAAACAGACTTGAAACACACATACCTTCACTCCAGTCTCCTTTTCCTCTACAACTCTTTTCAGAATGGCAGGACACAGCATCACAAAACTTAGAACGTTGAAAATTGGCAAGATTATAGAGAGAATATCAGTCACTGTATCTGTATAGTGTGCGGGGTATGGAAACTGTTGAAGATTCAACTGTGAAGAAGTACCATATTTATTATAATAGTGTTACTCATATTTATAAAACTTAAATACTTTTCACAAAGAACAACTAATTTTTTAATTGATATTTATTTAATGATACTGTCAGTAACTCAGACTAAAGGCTTATAGTGACAGATGATAAAATATTAATGAATAATGTATTGGAAGATAACAAAATAATAAATGTGTAAACATTTTTTGTTGGAAGGCCTGAAGGAAAGAGGCCATGCAGATGACCTAGGAATAGGTAGAGATAATATTAAAATGGATTAGAAAACACGGTGGAAAATGTAAACCTGATTCATCTGGCACAGGATAGAGACTAATGATGGGTTATTGTGAATATGGTATAATGAACCTTCAGGTTCCATTAAGGGCAGGAAATTTGACTACCTGAGTGATTACGAGCTTTTCAAAGACTCTGCCCATGCACCTAGTTACTGACATCATAAAATATACCACAAAATAAAACTATACAACAAGCACACATATAACTCTAAGAATCCAAACTTCCTTTCTTTATCCTTTCTATGTACTCTTTTTCACTTCATTATTTCTGTAACTCAGTGAACATACTATCATGTGCATTTTCTTATTTTACTTGCTGTTCCTTCTTATTATTAATCCACATTTTCTCAACAGTAACTAGGATAGTTCAGTCAGTAACTGACTTACTACGGACTAGATGGCTCTTGAGGCCCACTCAGTATCTACCCAAGTCCTTCCCCTAAGGGCAAATCACAAATCACCTTAAGCATATGATAACCACTGACCTCCACCATTTCCTGAGTTAATACTGTGTGAAGCTCTACCCTTAGGCCTGTTTTACATTTTCATAAATTGCTGTAATAATTAGGGACAAGGAAAACCTACTGTACTTATACTTGTAGTTGTTCAAAAACTTATTTCTAATAAAAATAACTTCCTTGCAGCAGTTTAAAAATGCTACTAAACCTTCAGTCTTGAAATAAATTAATTATAATGTATCTACTGTCTAATTTTATTAATATATGACTTTTGTAAATTGTTTTACAGTTTAGAGAGACTGGTTCCTTTAATCATCTCACTGGGGAACCTTTTAAAAACACAATATACTCTACAAATCTTTTTGACTGTTATCAGTCCATGTATGACTGTACAAGGATAGGATGCACAATCTAAAGCAACATTTAGTTTTCAGTTATAGTTTAAGCTGTTTTAAAGTACTGACATCTGGACCTCTGGTAAACTAATATAATAAATAACTAAATGTATCAAATGAAACACTGGAACAAAATACGAGATGGAGGGGAAACTGAAATAGAAATTACAGTGGCCACTTACTGCTGTAGAACAATGGGCCCTTTCTAGCAATCCACATCAATTGCATTCATTACAAAAATACATAGTACAACAATGGAATCATTTTAAAAAATTAAGAAGTAAACATACATTATACAAAGACTGATTTCTTCCTGCCATATTGATGAATTCTTTGTCCAGTAACAGTTGGAAGGTCAGGAAGTGGGAGCTTTCATAATTCTCAACTGTAAAGAAAATAACTGCATGTTAGTATGTGTCTATCCACTCAGTAGAATATACAGAAAAATAGGTTAAGTAGACCTGCATAGAGAACATTCCCAATCTAAATTTACCTTTACCAACCACTCAACATAGCTCAAATCCCATTTTTGCCCAATAAAAATTAATACTTGCATCCATGGAGTGTTTTAACAGCTCTGCATCTATTTAAAAGAGACAACCTGTATTATTTTATTAAAAGAATGGTAGAAAACCATGATTAAATTTTAGAAAACTACATTGTAATGATAATTAGTAATTAATTTGATGGGTTCTTCGCTTGAAGTATAACTTTATGAATCTTACAATGAATACACACAACTATGTTCTTGACTGCAGTTCTTTACTATTAAGAATCACAAGTTTTGCTTGTTCAATCTTCTGACTAGTTTTTACATTAATCATTGTTTCCTTGAAGTATGAATACTGCTTCTTTATTTTTGGTCACACAATGCACTCTTTTAGCTCTGTCACTGCCACCAACTTCTTCTGTCAACTCACAATTATCTGCAACCAACTTTCAACTGATTGCTGAAGTCACAGCAGCCTGCGTGTGTGTATTGGTCATGTCAGCCAGGTAAACACGTAGAAGGTCCCTACTTAGCCAATATAGTTCTCTATCCTTTGACATCATCTAAAAACACTACCCAAAAGCTGCTGGAAGCATCTTGGGCAAGAGTGAGATGCATGTGCAACCTAAGTGATGATATGCAAAGGTACATGGTTCCATTGTTGAAACCATATGAAATTTAACACAACAATATTAAAATAAAAGTGCTATGAATAACTTAAGTTTTTTATAAAATTAACTGTGACCTGAAATAAATACTGTTCGAAAGCTAATAAATGCTGTATTTTCAATATATTCAGTTGTATGGAGGAATATGGTCACAATAGTGAATGTCAACAATACTTTCAGAGTTAAAGAAATATGGTTTCACTTACTGTCCACAGCATATTTCTTTCTGTGGCCTCAACTAAGGTATCAATAGCCAATGTGGCTTACTGTAAGGCTTATTATGAATCTGAAGCATTTTCTCAAATTCCAACTTTCTATTATAAATTATGAGCTGGGTACCTCAATCAGTAAAATGACTGACTACAGGTTCAATCACCAATAAGGGCAGAGGATTTTTATCTAGCCTCTGTGTCCAGACCAGCTCTGGGGCTCACCCAGCCTCCTATCCAACGGGTACTGGAGGTCCTTACCCTGGGGTAAATCACGGCTGGGGTGTGATGCCGACCACTCACCCTCTTCTGGTGCTCAGTATGATAAGAGTAGGAGCTATACCTCCTATCCTCCTTAGTGCCTACATGGCACGCAGCAGAACAGCTTTTTTACTATTATAAATTACCACTGACTAAGTTAATTATCTGATAACAATGTACTTGGTGTGGTTATTTAATTACATACTAGCAACATAAACCAGTGATACATATGAATAAGTTTACCATATTTAAATATTCAAAGTACCTGCAGAACCAGGTCCAGTATTTTGAAATTCAGGAAATAACTGTGAAGTATGTACTTTTGGATGTGACAACCGAATCTTATACTTCAAATGTTCTGGAATTCCATCTGTTGGCAAGCCTTCAAAAACAACTGCATAAATGTTTTGGAAGGTATCATTCACTGATTCATAATAGCCAATCAATTCATCTTCACTTGCAAATCCCAGAGGTTCTGAAACACAAATAATGACACATTACCAAGATCTGCATATAAGCTTCACTATTGGTTAATGAAGTTAGTCTTCGAAGCTAATGTTTGTCTAAATAATATTTAAAAATTCTGTCTGTACTTCAAAGAAAAAACTTCTCCATTGCAAAGACCATCTGGTTAAACCTGTTTATCTCCATTTCCACTAAGAATAACATGAAACCTGAGAATACAAAATGCAGAATTACTAACTGTTAAAGCACGAAAGTATGTATATTTAAAATAAAACAAAATAAATTCTGCCTGTGCTATGGCACAGCCCACCCATTTAATTATATAATTCCTCTCACAGTCGATTATTTTTTATATAATTCTTTAATGTTTCCAATTTTAGAATAAGAGAATATTTGGTGGTCAAACAATATACTGATGTATCCATTTAAATAGTTGTTGCAGAATGTTTTCTAAATTTATTTAGCAGTACAAAGTTTTCACAGAGTAAAATAGTTTCAAGAGAGTATTTTTTATTTATTTGATACATCCAGGAAACTTGATGATATAATGAGCTATGTAGATGCACTATGCTGTGTACATTGTTGTGATTACTTTTCTTTCACTTGTCTATATAATAAAATCATGTTGTTTGATGTGCTCCCACCCCTTAGTAACTTTTGAATCAACAAATAAACTTTTATTAAATATTTAAAAACTCCGAGATGCTGAAGGTATAAACAAAATGTTTATGACAATAATCTTCCAAAAATATACAACTTATATTGACAATGTGGCATATAAGTCTATAATTTATTTCCAGTATGGTGTAGATAAGTAACAAAGTTTTTTTTACATACACAGCTCTAAAAATAACCTACAACCTGTGCTTTTACTCTCATTTCAATCTCTGACATAAGAACAGGAGATTCCTCTGAAACATTCATAACCACCTACCAGTCTACATGGTCCCACAACCCAGAAGACCACAGTCAAAATTTTCAACACCATGAAAACTAAGAACCTAGCAGAGCCTGTCTTCCTACAATACAACTAATCTTTTACAATCACCACACAAGAATGTGCTCAGACGCAAAAGAATTTTACTGATCACCTGGTTATGAATTACAGACTAGGATTACTTCACACTACACTGCACTGCAATAAACAGTGTCCTAACTTTTTCCCTTTTTCTTTAATAAAAATTATATACATATGCATGATTATGTGTGTCTGCACTGAAATAAAATTGTGAGAGCCTCTGTAAGCCTCATAATCCATGACAGATTTACTTACCAAAATTCTTCAACCGGGATGAAACAACAACCATAATTCTTTTAGTAAAATTATTAACTGGTGCATACAACAATGGCGATGAAGAGCCTGACATAGACAACATGCTCTTTTCAATAACAGCATTATCAGTCAAAATCTCACCATATTTAACTGGTTGTAATGAGTTTTCAGATTGACCAATTTCTGACTGTATCAATGCAACCACAATAAAAAGCACAACTGGAATCACTATTTCAATTAAGGTTAAAATCCAGTGCCTTTTGCGAATTACCAAGTTCTTCCAGAGTACAAGAGACAGCTTCCTCAGCAATATCATTTTTTTTTCTGAATATATATTGAAACTAGTAATCTTTATCAGCACCTGAAAAAGACCAAGATGTTGAGAGGGGAAAATATTACTCACACTGAAATAACTATAATTTATGTTTCTACCGGTAAGTGATGGCAAATATTCACAGTTTTCTGGGCAATAAATTTGTATATGCATATTTCAACAGTGGACATTTATCATAACACACGTATAGAAAAGCTCCAGCTGTTTGCCTTGATACTTGATGAAAGTCAACAGTCAGCTACATGATCTTTGAGATTTATATTGGGGAAATATAATATGAGTGATGAAAATAAACAATCAGATGCTGTACAACGATTACTGTTTGTGGATCTTCCTATTTGATCATACGATTGCATCACTTACAGTACTTACAATGCTGTATACAAGGTTGCAGATATGTGCACTGTTACTGTTTTGTTATAACAGAACAGATCTACAAACACACAAAACCTTAAAATCAAATGTGTAGCGTGAATAAGAATCCACTCAGAATGTAAAAATTTCATCGAGTGGCTTACAGGCTTTTGACACATATCAATAGTGGGTAATGTATATGAGTGAATTACTAGGTGAACTGAATATTAATTTTATGAATGCGAATACAAACCTCTACAACTTGTTACTGTACATTTGTTACATGGCAAAAACGTCTAGGGTATAATTACGTGATCCTAAAACCTATGAAACGTCACTGCTGTCACGGTATGCAAAGGATAACGCATTGCTTCCCTCAGGATAATGACAACTGTCACAGATACACCTAACTACCAACTGTTGCAGATCACTTTTCACAAATTCTCTTTATGTCCGTGTTTCTACATCCACGAATCGACCATCATGCTATACTCTTTCAGGTAGTTAAACAAGAGAGGAAATTGTACCGGAATACACAAACTATCCCCATGCGTTCTTTGTAACCATGTAATTTCACATTTTACATACAAACCTGCCTACAAAACATTGATAATACACATAATACAGCACATTACATATCAAACACAAACCTGTAGTTTTCCGCAACCTCTTTCTTGTGTCAAAAATGCTTTTGCACACCAACTTACGTCTGTTTATGTTCACATTACCATGACAACAACGTAACAAACTATATTGTTTACTAAGCCGCAAATACCATTGTAGTGATAGTAAGCATTATATTTTGTTACGTGGTTGTCATTGTAATGTGAGCATAAACAGAGTCTTAGTTCCAAATTAGCTACTAGAGTGCAGCACATCACCGATTCTTGGCCATCATGTTTATCTTCGTTAAAGGGGAGAGGCGAAGGAACAATATCATGTTGAAATTTCGAATAGGTTTCAAATTTCAGAGGCAAATGAAGATAAATAAAGTGTGGAAATCAACAGGGAGTGGGAGAATGTTAGAAACTGCATCAAAATTTCAGCCAAAGAGAAACTAGGATACTACAGGAGAAAGCAAAATAAACCGTGGTTTGATGAAGAATGTTCAAAATTAATAGATCGAAGGAAGCAAACAAAATTTCAATGGTTGCAGGACCCAAACAAAACAAATGCGGATAATCTATATAACGTGAGACGTGAAGCTAGTAGAACCTTTAGGAATAAGAAAATGGAATACCTGAAGGGCAAAATTGCTGAACTTGAGACAAATAATAAGGAAAAAACTGACAGTGGAACCACGGTTCCGGAGAATCTGACGTAAATACGTAAACGCAGCAGTAGCGTGAATTGCGATGCGCCTTTATTTGTATAAATAAATGTTTGTAGAACCTAAACCATTTGTGATATGTAAAATCTGAAAACAGATATGGAAAGCTCAAGAGGTAATACGTATTTCGTACGCAATATGTCCCGATCCATCTCTTACGGTTTTCGAGAGGCGGGCGCTTAACGCGCCAGATGCATTGACAATTGTACACATTGGTTCATTAAAATTACAATAAATGTATAAACAATTATAATTACAATAAAATACATTACAGATTCTTAAAGGTCCTTATTTACTGATCATTTTACATATAGGTTACATTACCCTCACTCTTACCATTTCTGAGGAATGAAAGTTTAAAGGTGACTCGGAGCTGGATCTTACACATCTTCGTAACGCTGTTTTTGCCGAATGACCCTTCCGTACAGACGTATTTACGTCAAAAGAAGACAAGCCTAATTCTCTTACACGAGTTCACAAATGCAGATGAAAACATTAAATGTAATGAACAATAATAATAAATAGGAATCCCTTACCTCAAACTTTGTTCAATTGTAAGAGACCACGATG